TTGGACCCAGGACCGACTTCATTAAAGCCACAGAAACGTAGACGGAAACCTATAAATCTGTTCAGAAACTCACAAAAAGACACTAAATTATAAAAGAAATATAAAAAATAACTACAAAAACAACACGTTTAGTACAGAAACTCTCAAAAAGACACTAAATTTGTACAAACTGAAGACGAAAAGAAAAATTTACAATAGAAATGTACAAAATAAGAACAGAAACAAAAACTAACCACAAAAACAAGTTTACTACAGAAACTCACAAAAATACACTAAATTACAACAGATATTAACAAATTTAGGATATAAACAAAAACTAACAAAAAGAACAAGTTTTGTACAGAAACTCACAAAAAGACACAAAATTACAACAAAAATGGAACAGAAATATAAAAAATAACTACATAAAGAACAAGTATACTACATAAACTGACAAAAAGACACTAAATTAGAACAAAAATGCACAAATTTAGGATGTAAACCTAAAAACTAACTACAAAAAGAACAAGTTTACAACAGAAACTGACAAAAGAAACAAAAAAAAGCTTAGAAACTTACAAACAATCCATAAAGTTATTTCCTAGACGACGATAAACAAAACAAAACAACTCATGAAAACATGGCCTCGTTTTTCCTACGTCAACTTTTACTACAACTGGGAGGGATCTGGCCTGTGATTGGCTCGTTAATCCGTCCGTCAAATCCTCCAAGAAAGCCCCATTCTCATTGGACCGCCCGGCCCTACGTCACCGGCGAGGCGGGAGCCGGGACATTCCTTGTCTCGCTCATGGAAAAAAAAGAGAAAGTTTCCAAGATGGCGGAGCGGACTCGCCTGTTCGCTGGAAAACAATAGAAACGGCACATAGGGACGGAGTTAGCCTCCGCTGGCGGGCCGTACGCGTCCCGTCTCGGGCTTGGACTCAAGCGGCTCCGACTCTGGGTGAATCTATAACAAGAATGAGGGTTTATTTAGATGCTTAGGACTAGCCACTTTGCTAGTCGAGCTACCGCTAACCCAAACAGAGCTCCAAGCTAGCGGCTAACGGCTAGCGGCTAACGGCTAGCGGCTAACGGCTAAACGGAGGCGGAGAATCAGCTGTTCACTGGACAGATGCTGTAGGAAGAGCGGACGGCTACACTCTCATTGTAAGTCATTTAAAAGTTTTTCAAGTGTCAGAAATCCGGAAGGGTCGTTGTTTATTGGTACTTTGTGAGAAAGGGGTGTGTTTGATTATAGAAAGCGTTTATTGTCTTGTTATGTTCTGCCAAGTTTGAGTTGTTAGCCAGCTAGCTCCTGCTAGCTACCCAAGCTAACTCCCACCAAAGAGCAAAATTAAGTTTCAGACAAGTTTAAGGAGGGTTTTTATCCCTCCAGAGAAGCCAGACAT